AGTATGCCTCAGCGAATGCAGATGGTAATCAATATGAAAGGAGATTACATTGGGAAATGAGACATGTTCATAGCACTCTTTGGAAGAGAATAAAATTTTTTCCTTTGTTGCAATACTTTTGACCCATACTGTATATCTTGCTTATGAGCACGTTGATTTTTGTACAGTCTTCAGCAATGGAAAGCATAATCTCTTCTCATTTTAACTGCCACAAAAAATTTAATTCACATTTTATACATTTGAAGAAAAAGAAATTCTTGCACTAAATTTTCTTTGAGGCACCCTGTATCTTTTTTTTTTCACCCTCTATATGTCCAGCAATTGCCTGGACATGAAATAATCATTACATCAGCTTCTACAGTCTCTCATTCACTTCTGTAGCACGATCCCAATTTCCTTATGATACTGAGTTAAAGTAATAATGGGCTGTTTGCCAAGATAGTACATTTCAGGTGCAAAATGATTGTCAGTGGGCCCATTTTTTGGCAGAGAAGTCTCATTATACTATAAGTGTCTTCTTTCAAAGTGCCAGGCATCTAGTCTTGGAAGGTTAGGTCAATCTGAAATTGGATTATTTAAGGGCTAACTTTAGATTGGGAACAAGCAAAAAAACTTGATTTTTCAATGAATCACTCCTGTTTCTTAATAATCCTCATGTCACTCAATTATTGCATGATTTAATAATGGTAATGAAGAGAAAACCATTCATTCAGATTGGCATAGACTCAGATAAATTCAGATTCAGAATGAGACTGGGAATCTCAAAGGCATCAATTCAATACGACATGGAACATATACAGGATAGCCGCATACTTGATGCACCTACATTAGAGGTTTTCATTAGATCCTTGCATTCACTGTATATAGCAGACAGTAACCTTTCATGATGTGACAGGAAAGGGAGATGATTCCCATTACACAGGTCCTCAAGCCCATATTGAGTAATCAACATCCTCACTGTCAAAGGCAATGAAGAAGCCAAGAATAGTGATGAACACAACAATATTCCCAGCCAACACAAGTCCACATGCACCCCACTCAATCACAGGTTGAGATCTGGGAGCCCTGGCTAGGACCATGGGCAGTCCAAATGCAGAGATGATGATCCCTGTAGTGATGAATATGGCTAGTTCATGGCACACACTACTGGCTTGCATTTCATCACGGTAGCGTCTTGCTATGACCATTGGGATGGGGGACAGCAGATAAAATACGATGACAAAAAATGGCCACCAGTTGCTGCAATCAAAAGAAACTCAGAGCTATTTCTTCCAAGTCTAGAGTGTGCCAGAATTGTCACATGTTTATTTATTTATTTACATTTTCTTACAGCAAAAAGCTATAGTATATGGTATAGAACATCCTCATAACAAAATAAAAAACAATTCATTTTACCTGTTGAAAGAAAAAAAAAAGTGACAGGAATTCTGGGATACCCTGCATAATTTTCAAGGCAATTCAAGAGCCATCAGCAATAAAAAATGCTGTCAAGAACCACAATTGCCATATCTTACTTGTATTGTTGGAGAGCACATGCAAGCACCACGAATGTCATACCAATGGACCCTGCAAAGGCCAAGGCGATCAATCTGGAAGAAAATACATGACTTTAATCAGTATCAGATCCATGTAAGCATGTAGAGAGAGAAGCAAGGCTATTGACTAATGCTGCATGCCAATCTCTCCCTGAGATCAAAATCTCATCTTCAATTTCCTAGGTTTTTAAGAATGCATGAGAACTTTTATGCACTATATGTCAACATCACCAATTCAGTTCATGCCTAACTCTCAACCTACTATTTTTATTTTTCTTCCTTGAACCTGCTTTCAGGTGCTATGGTTAATTTTGGTAAAGAGTGGAATATTGGACAAGGTTTTATTTTGGAGTTTCAAAAATTGCATGTATGCTATTTATAGAAATATTGCACTCCATAATTCACCTGACCCATTGAAATTTATCCCTCAACCTTAAACATTTGTTGATAAAGATGCCTTGTGTGGCATCCAAAAAATAAAAGGACAATAAATTGGAGAAGGGGTTTAACCCTTTCATTGCAAAGGTGACTTTAGTTGCTTCCCCTAACATTGGTTGCACCCCAAAACAATTACACAGTGAAAGGGTTAAACCCCTTTTCCTATGTATTGTCCTGGTTGACACCCAACCCTTGGCTCATGTACCACATTTGTATATGGGTCAGAAGTCACATCTGCAGGCAATGTTGTTATGCTATATGGACTAAAGAGGGAGCAACCATTTTGAGCTCAACAAAGTGCATGAGCTTAGATGCAAACAAATTCTGACTGGGCTTAAAACCTTTACAGATTCAAAATAAGGTTTAGGCTTATTTCAATTGAAGTAATCAAAGCTTACATTCATATTTTTATTGTGCAGGAGGGCAAATATCCAGTAAAAACTAAAGTTGACCTTCACACTGTCAACTGTAAATACTGGTATTCTGGATTCTGCTTATGAAAATTTTGAATGCAGAAAAAGAATGGTAAGGGGCATTAGCCTGATGAGAAACTTACGCTGCAAGGGAGAGGATGATTCATTCACCATGAACAAGCATGAAAAGAAAACATCACCAGGATTAATTGTAGTCCAATACAAAGCCAGGCTTAGAACTATGTCTATACTGTAAAATATTGATGGAAGATTACTCCAAGAAATAAAAAGGGACAAATTGTCAAGCTTTCAACTACAAAGGTCTTTATTAGGTTAAATCATATGCAGTGTCTATTGGCTGAGCTGGCTCAGCTCTGACATAAGGGATAAGTAGGCAGTCACTTGACTTGTAATGTCTTCTCAGTTGATGAGACCTACATTCTATAGAGAAGAGCTTGGCCTCTAAGTTGTGGCTGAGCTGGCTTTCTGAAGTGAAAAAGATGTCTAAAATTTGGCCTAAAAGTCATTGTATATTCTAGAGTGATGGCTTTCATCATGTTACAAGTGCCATGTATATTGTTTTTAGCAATTAAAACCTAATAGTACCTATTATGATGTAAAATTTCATAATAGTCATATAGTCTAGGCAGAGAGCTCACTCAAAGTGAGCAATGTGCAGGCAATAGAGCCCTTAATGGATGATTTCAAAAGCTGATTTCAAAGCAGGTGCCCCCAAGCCAAGAATTTCCCCATTTCCTAATATGAGACATCTTAAATTAATTTAAGTGAATGTCATTTCCTATCCTGACATAATGTAGAGGTTTTTCAACAACCATGATATCCTTCAATGATGACGAGCTGTTCAGTTTTGCCCTGGTAGGTCGAAAAAGACTACTCAAAATCTTCCCACAAGGCAAAGGAAGCTCCCTACTCTACCTTGAAAGACAGGCCTGCATTCAGTGGGTTGGCAGAAGCTTTATCACGTTAGGAGAGAAGCTAGAGGTTATGATTCCCAGTTCGGCCGATAGACACATCCTAAATGTTATGCCTTGGTGCTGACCGTTATGGTCACAACGACAGAAAATTTGTCACTCTTGTGATATTTTAGACCTCATTTTATGTTTTACCCACGTTTGTCTCAAGCCATCATCTTTATACTGGGTCCATAGGACTAAATGATTGATAACAGGAAGTAGCCTCGATGTTATGAATGAAAGCAATTTAGCCAGGACAAACCTGACCTGGGATCAAAGTGATATTCCTAAACCTACCTTTGATTCCGGCCATTCCTCTGCACAACCACGAAATCACACAAATCCTATGAGAAGGCAATAAAATCTCTCCTGTGTCTGCTACAATGTGTTCTCATTCACAATCCATGTTCTGGAACTCAAAGACTTCAGGCCTATTACATGTTATCAAGCTGAAGCTAATTGGTTCCCTGCTAACACGCAGCAGCCATGTTGGTGTAGAGTTGTCATGGCAGTCCATTGCACTGAAGTCATCAGGGACCCAAGAGTGATAATCCTAAGACCGCTCGCTTCTAGAGGAGGGGAACGACCTTTCGGAAGCGCAAAATATTTTTTAAATATATAATTTTCCTTCATATCCCCTTAACAGAAGTAGCAGTGGCGTAGCCAGGACTTTGCCTATTGGGGAGCTAAGGGGAACGAAGGGGGGGGGGGGGGTGGGGAAATATTCATGATGCTCTGTGATTGTCGCATGGAACACACACGCTGAGTTATATCATATTTCCCGTTACTGTTGAATTAGAAGGGGTTATCGGCAGGTTTTTCTTTGAAATAAAAAAATTCGTGTTTTTTCACTTGAGTCAGGCAATTTTCCACTTGTCTCTGGAACTAATGCATTGGAAGTGCCTAATATATGTGTCGAAGTCGAGTGAAATATTTTCTGAAGCAAGTGAACACTTCAACACATTTTGCCCAGGTAATTTTGATGACTAAATTGCAGCTAAAAAAATACCAAATTTGACCCTGTATTCATTAAATCATGCTGTGATGTTTGAGTGGCAAATGCTTAGCTAAGTTTTTACAGTATTGTATTTTCTAAGCTTACAGTTAAAGTTAGAGAGATTGATGAAAGTTAAAGATAAATGTCCCTTAGTAATTCCTGTAGGTCTGATTGAAGTCCTGCTGGAACTGTTTTGAGGGTTCAATTAGGCAAAGAAAATATGAAATTATGCTAATGCATGTGGTCTCTTTCTTGTCTTGATGATCAAGATAAGAAAAAGACTGTCATATATATCATATAAATGTATATATGACATTGATTTCTTTGATACAGTCATCCATCCAAGCCCTAACACTTCTGTGAGGCATCTGTTGACCAATCTAGAGACTGCACTTGCAAGGGGAGATGATGATTTGGCAGCAGCACATGCTAAGCAACTTGCAGGTCTGTTTTTCTTGTCCCTCTTGAACATAAATTGTATTTCCTTGCTCTCTTTGGCAATAAACATGCCCTTGAATGCAGAGGTTAACAACTCTGTAAGCATTCCTCTTTCACTTGAAATTCTGAAGGAATATTTATGTATTAATAGATAAAAATGCTTGGAGTCAACAGGAGCAATAGATCAATAGGTAGGTCTAATGAGGTCAGTGCATTGAGTCCAATATATGTATTTTTGTTGCCACTTCAGTCCTTTGGATCATTCAAAATTATTTTGGCATCTTAGTGGATTCAATGTATTGTCTGAGCTGATTTTTCTCATGGCTTGAAATCATTTATTCTCTGAACAAGTAAGTAGGTAAAGAAGTGTAATTTATCATTTCCATCCTCTATGTCTATTCTATGATCAAAAAAATGTTTTTATTAATATTAAAGACTGATTATCAAGATGATGCTTAAAGAAATAACAAGACTGCAAAAGGAGTAGTTATGATGTTGTTTATAGCATTGAAGGTGAACTGTGCTGTGATTGAAATGAAGAAACAGGGAGGAGTGGCACAGACCAAAACTGAACACACTAATAACCTGGTGCCATCACCTGCTGATGTGGTTAAGTAAGTTCTTCACCTTCTAGTGGTCTTCACTAGGGTGAGACATTTCTCACATGACTTGGACACCCATCCAATCTGTCAATGTAATCACTCCTTCCCATGTGTATGGGTGGCCAAATAAAGTGGGAAAATGTCTGACTCAAGAGCAGAACACCATATCATCTCACATGACTTAAGCAGCTTGTGGGATATCCTCCCTGTAACCTTGTAGTTAACTTTTTAAACTCATGAACCCATTTGAATTGTTTCCTCTTGGCAGGGTGAATCTGTTCATAGAAGACAAAGATTCTCAGTATGGACCGATTCTGTTGACAATGTCCAAGTCGTATCAATTAAGCCAAATCAAGGAAAAAATTTTCCAAGATCTTGGTGTTCCCCACCATCAGCAAAGATGGATCATTGGTAAGTCTCCTCACTCTGTCATTTAAGTTTTTTTTTCCCTTGAAGTATATCTAGACACCCTCACAAATAACACTCATTTGAGACTCATTCACTTTTAGGAAAGCAGCTGGCAACAGAGGACAGCAAGACATTATTGCAGTATGGAGTGAACGGAGATTCTACAGCCATTTACCTTTATGTTCTTGCAGGTATGCCATGTTCCATATGGGTCATTCTATATTAAATTAGCTCAGCCATATATGTGCCCCCTCTAGTTTTGATTACTTTTAATGGGCTTTTAGGGCTCATTGAGAAGCTACTCTGCACAAAATTTCAGCTCTCTTAGTCAAGGCACAGTGGTTTGAATATTGCCAGAAAAGACTAATAGCTGGTTCAGTGGTCATCTCTCAAGTGCTCTTAAGTTGAGTCCTGTTTAGCTTGGAGAGATAGATGACATTGGTATAATTTTTTAGTAATGCACTTTCACATTATATATATTTCATGGAGTTTGAATTTAAAAAATAACTGGAAAAAGGTCTGACTTTTTATCTTTCAAATGGGAAAAGTTTCATTTTTTTCCTTTAAAAAAAAACATCTCAAATTTTCACCATCAGTACACTGAATTTCAATGTGGAACTGTTGTAGGATTAAAAGATCCTTACAATAATGTGGCAGTAATTTGTAAGTGACCAAATATCCATAGAGATCATATTAGAAAACTCTGGGTGCATCCATTTTGTGTGGAAAATTTTGGCTAAACCATTCACTTGTGGTAGTAAGAACCATCAGCATTATTCTAGAAAATTTTATTTAAAAATAATTCTAATATATGAAGGCTGGTGCAAAAATCATTGGAAACATTATACTGGAACTCCAATGATACTTTTTCTTTGGTAACCTTTATTTACAAACCTCAGTGGAAGCCCTTATTTCTCCATGTAATTCCCATCCTTGTGCACATGCTTTTTCCATCAGTATACCTATGCATAGGGCCTGATGATGAAAAATTGCTTGTGTGCCCATCACATGACATTCTGCACAAAACTAGCATGATCAACAAATCTGTGATCATGTAGAGCCTCTTTCAGAGACAGAAACATGTGGAAGTCTGAAGGAGCAAGGTCAGGTTAGTTGGGTGGATGGGGCAGCACAGTGTAACCCAACAGATATGTCAGTTGTGCCAATATTGTGCAGGATGTCATATGGGTGCCACAGCCCATGGAATTCATTGTCACTGGGTTCAAATGGATGGGCATAATGATGGAAAAAATGTGTGTGCAAGGATGGGGATTAAATGGAGAACACAGTCTTTGAGTCTCAGTATTTTATTTCCCTACCTTTATTGTGGTGGTTACAATAGCATGCATTGGCCCTCATATACATTCATTGCCCAAAAAAAAGCACCACCAATGAGTTGAAGAATCTTGAAATCTATTAAATCTATTAAATTTGATACACAGCTTGTAGCTGTATGCCATGAAATTGATTTGAGTTTGAAAGGGCATGGGATCAGTATTCACTGAGAAGATTTGCAAAAAGTACTCTAATTTAACCCACTTATCTACAGGGTATTTCATTTAAATTGTACATCTTTGAACGATCATATCTCTGAGAGGAGGCAATCAATCTTGATGAAAATTGACCTCAATATAGAACAACTTTTGGCAAAATATTCAGCAGTTTTTAATCACAGTGCCCTCTATCAGATTGAAAAACTGATTCTACCAAAACCTCTGAAATCAAGATCTTATCGATTTGATAAAATCTTTTAAAGCTCATCATTCATTAGATTATTCCTTGATCCAGTAGCCATGGGGTTCCTCTATCTCAAGGATCGGGTTTTTGCCCGTTCTAGGGATATTCCTGAGCTGAAAGAAATAATTTAGGAGTTCAACACCATCCCTCAGGATATGGTTCAGAAGGCCTGCTGCTTAGTCCTCAATTGATGCCGGGTCTGCATTGAGATTGACGGCAGGCAAATCAAGCTTAACAAAGGATAATCTCCTGATTGTGAATGTTTGATGCTGGATGGCATTGTGGAGGCAAGGAGAACCACTTGAAAAAACTCCCCATGGGATGAACGACAGCTACCTCCATGTTGGTTCATCCTGGGTAACACTAAATCTGTCTTTTGGAAGATGTCAGCATTTTTTGCTATCAAATTTGAAATTTGATATCTCAGTAAGGGGATGCAATAAAATCATGAAACTTTCTGGGCTACTGGATCAAGGCATAATCTAATGAATGATGAGCTTTAAAAGATTTTATCAAATCAATAAGATCTTGATTTCAGAGGTTTCTGTAGAATCAGTTTTTCAACTTGATAGAGGGTGCTGCGATTAAAAAGCTGTCTAATATTTTTGCAAAAGTTGCTCTATATTGTGGTCAATTTTCATCAAGATTGGTTGCATACTTTCAGAGATATGAGCATTCAAAGATGCACAATTTAAATTAAATGCCCTGTGCCAGCATCCCAAAATTGGAATGGTTGAAACTTGGTCTTTCTTTTGTAATGAACACTACATGACATAAGCATGGCAGCACCTGATTTCCAAGAATGTGTCTCCTGCACTTGAGTGAAATCTTGTAAGTATTCTCTTAAGTAGGGTTTTCATAGACATTTTCTTGGGGTGACCTGCAATGCAGGTGGCCATGAGTAGCATGTGAATTATTCCACCACATATTAGGTGGATTAGCACCATTTCTGATTTTCATTAAATTGACAGAGATGGAGTTGGATTCATTTTAAGAAACTGTTCTGAAACATTGCTAGAAATCTTGCACCGTTCTCCTAAAATACAACTTAAACTGTTAGTCATTTTTTATTACCAGCAAATACCTGGACCAGAACTATAGAATTATTTCAGCAATAACTTTCCTCCTTATTGAAATAGAAGCCTCATTCTGATTTCACTTTAATTGCAAGATTGCATTCTTCCCAATGGTATAGCAAACTAATCTCAAGGAGACATTTAAACTATTCTACTTAACCCCTTTAGTTTGTCCAAATCGATGTTCAAAGTTTCTGATAATTCCAAAATCTTAAGGCTTGTAAAGTCAAGAAAGTTGTCAATAAGTATTCATAAATTTCTCAAGTACTTAATGTTGATGAGAAAACAAATTAAATGAAACACTAACTTTTATAAAGTACATAAATAATTTTAAAGAAATGTATTTTAGTGAAATAAGGTTCTTCTATTAATTAAAATATTATCATTATTTGATGGTATAAGAAAAAATAGTGGGAGGGGGTTATCATGAAGAAGTTTATTATTGAAACATGGAACTGAAGTCTTAAAGATGCGTTGGAAAATGCAAAAAACTTTCAAGGTGATAGGATGAGTCAATGCAAAGAAAATATTACCAAAGCGTCTGTCCATGCCAAGTGGTCCTAGGATTTTAGCTGGAAATTTTCCTAAATATACAAATATTACTTTCACTACAGAAGCTCAACATCTCTTTTTCCAGAAGACATGATTGAAAGAGAATATTATATGGAAAAATGAAAGAATTTGTCATGATTATGGCATATTATCCATACCACTCTCATGATACTCAAAAATGTGATGAAAATGCATATCTAGAGAGACTGAATTGGACTATTGGAACAGATGCCAGCATCAGCTTTCCATGCATGCTGATAATTTCAAATCAGTTCAGGTGTGAAGAGTAGATGTCAATTGTTCACATTTGAATGATATCTTTAAAATAAAATTAATATATATGTACAGACTTCTAGTTTCAAAACACGTTTTCAGAATATGTCACATCCGACACCGTCACAAAATAGGCTTACTTTCTCTTTTGAGTCACCCCAATCTTGGGGTGACTTACAGTAATTCCAGGCTTTCATTCAACCTATGGTATGAACATGAAACTAAATTATTAGGATCTGCTCAATGACAAATATGTGAACATTAATGCAAGTGACTTTAACTTGAGGTTCACGAAATGTCACGTCCGACACTTTTCTTTGCTCATAGGTACATCTCTAACAAAAGAGAGAGTGCAAGACTCTCGGTTATGGAGTTTTCAGTCACTACTCAAACCAAATTGTTGCAGCCTTTATATGCTGATTTGTCATCCATAATATAGTTGGATACATTTTGTATGCTAAAAATATTACTCTGGATGTCACATCCAGCACCATGGACAAGCAAAGTTCTGCGGAATGGAGGAAGAGATATCAATACTATCAATGATACCCTCTATGATACTCTCAAGCCCCTTCAATGCTGAACCATTGTTGTGTGTCTCACTGTAAAACCATGCAAAAATGAAATTATTGAGGCAATTTCAACTAGCTATTTGACCATTTAATAGATATAGGTTAATTAGAATGCTTAGCATGCATCAATTTTATGCATGCCTGCATGAAGTTGATGCATGCATCTCTATTAGCTAATGTTGATCAACTGCTCTAACAACTTATTCAAAATTTCTTTCAGAGATTTCATCTTGGCATGGGTTTGAAGTTTCACCCTTTGCAATGAACAGTGAAGCAGTAGTGAAAGTGCTTGAGGGGAAAAGAAAGGAAACTGGCCATGTCAGTAGCACCACCCTCTTCCTTCATTCCTTGGGCATTCAAACATCTTTTCTCTGCATGCCTCAACCTATCACCTCAAAACTTTGCTAATTTTTTTACACATCTTTAAGTGTTCCTATTTCATGTTTCACAATTAAATAACTGAGTAATCATTTTGGCTGATTAGCACAGCTCCTTTGCCACTATTTGAATAAGAGCATTTGGTAATTTTTCTCTCTAAATATTTATCCTGTATTCTTCAATATCCTTCAAGTTCCAATCAATTTCATGGCATGCTGCTTCAAGCTTATGTACCAAATTTCAAAATCACTCAACTCCTTCTAGGTGATGCTTTTTTTGGCAAAGAGTGTTTGTAATTATTTAATATTCAAATCGCTAGACCTCAAACAGCACTTGACCTCGAGAACTGAAACTGAGTATGGATTAGTTTTGTAAAACACTCCTCAAAAGTCCACTAAATTTGATCAAAATTATATGGAGTCATGTCAGACAAAATTTTTTTGTATTGATTGATATGGAATGACCCACAGTATACCTCTCCTCCATCCAGGCTGATTTGTCTCATCTAAGCATTAGTTAGTATGACAACTGATTGATTTTTACTTTTTGGTGAAATTGGATGACTTGCCATACCTGCTTGTATCTATTTGCTCTCATCCTGATAATTTGTAGGAATGACATGAACCTAATTAAAGAGATTATGAAATTATTTATCATAAAATTGTGCCAGTATATCATAAGCTGATTTTGTTCATTACACTTGCTATATCAGTCCAATGGAGAATGTGTCATCAGATAGATTCCAATGGTGTTCAGGTATTCATATAAGATCTTTCTGTGGGTAATTTCAGTGGAATCCATTTTTTCCTCTCCATAACTTAAGGCATTAAACATACTTTGTAGAAATTTTAATGAAAAAATTACTTCTCTTTTATAGAGCTGACACATTTTCTGTAATTTGATCTCATTTCAAGGGTCTGTGTCATGTATGAATGAGACAAAAGGAGCAGCCAAGACATCACATCTGAAGGAGCAGTCACCTGTTGTGAAAATCATCACACCCTCACAATCAGGTTTTAAAGTTTCTTTTCTCTTTCAGATTTGGCATATGCACAAATTGTACTTTTGAAATAATTTTATAAGTTCTTATTTCATAGGAAAATATGGTGGGAGTGATCAGAAGTATGGGAAAAGTCCTGAAGTGAGGAGAGAAGATTCACATGAGGCCACACAAAGAAAAGAAGCTTTGGTTGCTGAAAATGAAATTGAAGCTCCAGGTTTCAATGGTGAAAGTAATCCAATGTCTTCCCAAGACCCTAATAAAATCAGAAGCTTCCAAGTTGGAGGAGAAACAAAAGAAGCTGTGGTTTTTGGAGGGATTAGAAAAAAAGATGATAGGGTTTCTCTACAAAGTCATGATCAGGAAGCAATAAAGAATGGTGGCATTGCAGATGAAAATGGAGTGGATGGAGAAAAAAAGGTTTGAGAAATAAGAAATATGAACAGATAAGGCTCAGACTTCCATCCTTCACTTTGTTACACATTTTTGCTTTTGTAGGAATCTGAAGTCATGAAGGAATATGAAGAGATACTTCAGTTGGAAGGTCAAGCAGTGGTGGTTAATAATGAAGAATTCATATGCCAAATCTGTTTGTCTCATGTTGGGATTGGGGAAGGAATTTGTCTCAAGGAATGCCTCCATCTTTTCTGCAGGTCAGTTTCTATTGTTTGCTGGGCCTTATGTTATTTTCACATTATTAAAAAAATAGTATCATCATGCAGTTGAAGTCACTAAAAATGAAAATCAAGGCCATATGAAATTTACTTCACCTTAATGTATGTATTCAATTCAACCTTTAGATGGTTTAGTTTCACCATTGTATCTTACAGCTCTCTAATAAATGGGTCTCCCACTTTGTAAAAAAAATGTCACATTTAATGCCTTGTTGACTGATGCTGTTTTGAAGGCTGTGCCTTGCTGGGACAATAGAGCATGCTGAAAAAGCAGAAATCCATTGCCCTTTCCAAGATGCTCAGTATTCCTGTCCCACTTTCTTGCAAGACAGAGAGGTGAAAAGTGTAAGTCTTCCTTTGCCATATATTCTTTCTCAACATCTTTCTAAGAACAGAAAATAATATTTTATCATGGAATGTTTTGAACAGTTGGTGAGTCCAGAGGTGTACCAGAGGTACTTGAATTTGTCTCTGAGACAGGTGGAATCAGCTGCTTCAAACACTTTCCACTGCCAGACCAAAGACTGTCCAGGGTGGTGCTTCTATGAAGATGATGTTCAGCATTTCAAGTGCTCAACTTGTGGCAGGTCCAATTGCCTGTCATGCCAGGTAGTTTTAATTGCTCTGCTCTGGGTCTTCATGTGCTCAGAAGTCTCCTTCTCTCTCTGTTATCCTTCCTCTCTTGTTATAAAGGAGATATTAATTTTGGCTTCTCAAAACTGTCTTTTGAGCTAGACATGTGTCAATACGAGACGCTAGACATGTGTCAATTGTTTCATTCAGCCAAATTCTGAAACCGGTCAGAACTCATAATAGCAGAATTTGATGCGATTTGCATCAGTGGAATATACTGTATTGTCTATAGATGCTGTAGCACATCCATGCAATTTTTTAATACAAAAATTAACCAAGAATAAATATTTGTGCAGTATATCACATTGAGAATGTAGCTTACTGTGTATACCATCAACTATTGATATAATGCGACTGTTGGTTGTCACCAATTTTGGCTCTGTATTGCAGATGGCAATGTATTGAATGAACCAGAGAATGTTAGTGGCCACAATACCTAAGTATCCAAAGGAGAAATTGACTAAATGTCATGGTGACCATATAATTTACAATTATATGATCACCTTTACTCCCCTCTTTTGCTTCACACTTTTTCTATGCACTATCCATTCTATGAGTATGATCTTACCATCTTTTATGTGACTGGGTGAACTATTGGCAAACAAATAGCTGCATTTAGTACTGGATAAGGGTTTCAGCAGGTGTAAACTTACCCCAAAATTGTGGAGGATTCATATGAAAAAAGCATGTTTGTATAAATAATGGGGTTAGCAGATGGCAGCTTGGGGGGGTGGCACTATCACCGGGGACCACCCAGTATAAACTTATGGGAAAGATTTGTTCTCAGGAAGGAGCTGGTGATGAGCAGATGAGCAAGGGTGGCAGTATACTGACTGGTGTTATATCAATGGTTGACATTAATAATCTTTGTGAATTTTTCCAACCAAATTGTTCAACTCCTCTCAAAATGAGCTACTCTATTTATTTAATTTAATATTTTATACTGCATTTGCATGAAATGAGATTGTGGCGATCCAAATCCCACATGCTTCAGTTCCATGCTGTTGATTACATCATATGCTATGATGGAAACTTTATTAATCATTGCAGGCCATACATGAGGGTCAAAGTTGCCATGGGTATCAGATGCATGTAGCAATTGATGCAGCTGAAGATGAGGAAGCTCAGAAGACTGTAGCCTTCTTACAGGTAGGATGCTAGGTTTAAAAAAAAAAAGACATTCTACTGCTATAGTAGATGTGCATGCTCCTAGTTACTCTATGGAATCTTCACACTACAATCCCCTTCTTTTTTTTTTTTAAATAGGAAATGCTGACTAGAGGAGATGCTATGACATGCCCCACATGCAAGGTTGTGATTCTTCGAAAATGGGGCTGTGATTGGCTCAAATGCAGTGCTTGTCAAACTGAGATATGCTGGGTCACAAAAGGTCCCCGTTGGGGCCCAAAGGTTGGAAAGGCACAGTGAATAGATAAGGAGTATGATGGTGAGGCCTACAGGGCTTGATTCAGGACTGTTACTTTGCCACAGGGGAAAGGAGATGTGAGTGGAGGATGCCGGTGTCGTGTGAATGGAATCCCATGCCATCCAGACTGCAAGTACTGTCACTGAATGATTTTCTCCCAGCAAAATGTCTCTTTTGCCATGCAACCCTTCATGATGTATCTTGTGAAGCTGCAATGCTGTTCATTGTACACACACTGTTTATGGATATAATAAATGGAAGAGTCAGAGGATTTGGAGCTATAGATCCTCTGATGAAAAGAGTTAAGATGTATCCAAAAAGAATTAATCTAAAAAGAATTACACAACAAAATAAATTTATATGCACCTGGGAAAGAAAAAGATGGGAAGAGGTAGGAGTGATCTTCTCCCCCGGGTGGCCTTGGATAACTTCTGCTGCCACCCATTTCCTTATTCTTTTATCCTCTTAGTTGATTTGAGTTAATCAATCGTGAAAGAAAACCTGATATATCTATCCCCCCCCCCCCTCCCTCTATCTGGAAATAAATTCAAGGCTTGTCTACTGATGTTGCTAGTGCTTCACTTGTTGAAAAATGTTCATTGCTGAGAGACTGTAATATCATCACGGGTTATTCTTTAAATAATTCCTTCTTGTAAATTTTCCACCTGATTGTAAGTGACTTGCTTTAATACTTTGGTTTGAAATCCATATGAACAGAGGAGTAGCTAATAGCTTGAAGACATTTGTCATGATGGACAAGAGCTTGCATTTGATGTACCCCATGGATTTTGGCTTGTTAACTGTCTGAAATAAAAACTCCAGGTTGATTTGATGCTCATGCCTTGTGAAACATTCCTCTTGCATCAGCCATGAATTCTACTGTCTAATTTTCATATCATTTTCAGGAGTGAGATTTAAATGCCCAGAAGTATGAGTTTTCTGAATCTCCCCCAATGGTTTATTTTATGGAGGGGGCAGGGGGGCGGCCGCCCCCTGGCGCCCCTGGGACAGAGCTTGATGCCCTTTTGGAAGTAATTTTCTCCCCTATTATTCGGGTGGGGTTTGGCGCCCCCTGACTCTTCAGCCATAATATGCCACTGCCCCCCCCCCCCATCCGGGCCGGGATGTTTTGAAGTTATAGAATATTTTTAACTTGCTCTGAATGTGCTCCAGATTAACCTCTGTACTGCAGGATGCAAATGAAAGTGGTCTTCAGGTGAGAGATGAAATGCGGCCAAAAGTTTTATAGTGGGGTCTCATAAGCACGACTCGAGTTGTTCCCCTCCAGATTAGTATCTCTGCAATTCAGTAAGGAAACTCCTTTCGAAGGACGCAATTTGGTAGAACAGACAGATCCACTTGAACTTGAAACGGGTGCGTCGTTAATGGGTCTCGAGTGACATTAAGTGTAGGTTTACACATGTGGGCGCGCTCACGGGGAAAGTGGCAATCAGCATTTTTGCGCACTTGCATGCAACGACCCTCAACCAGACTTTTGCAATTTCATCATTTATTATGCCAAATCAAAGTTATGAGCGATTACTAAAGAGACATTGGGAATTGAGAATGGACGAGGTATATTCCAATCCAATCTTTCCTGGTGACTTATCTCCGCTTGCAGCCTCCTCAGTGGAGCAGGTCTGAAGATCTGCAGAAAATCAAGCAAATTTTTGTTATTTCATAACAACATCGATTCATCACGCATTGAATGGGAGAAAGTTGATGCAACTCATATTCAGCAAAATGCCAACGGCAAGATAGATTCTAAATCAGTGAACAGCAACCTGCGGCCCGCGAGGTCCTGGTTTACGGCCAGCGGTGTTTTTCAACTGAATTTTTTTCTTATCATCTGCCATCTGGAGTAGAGCGTACTTGCGCTCAAGGATTCCGTTCCCCACTGCAGGAGATACGAAAGAAATAAAACATAAAAGCTACAATTCCGCCATAGCTGCAAATATCCCTTCACTCTTTTCTTGGTCATCGTATCACTGCTCTCTGAGCAAGCAGCTTGCTTGATATTTTGCTCAGTGATAAGGTGAGAAAAAATTATAAATTAGTTACTTGCGTATCATTAGCATCTGCTATCTTAGTAGATGGTTTGCTGAACCAGGCTTAGGATTATGTTGGTACTCAGCAGTCATAAAGCCAGTACTTCAGTAGAAAAAAACAAACAAACATGTCGAAACAGTCGAAAATTGAAAAAGAGACCTAAAATACCCCATTTGTGACCATAGACCTCAAACTGCTTTTCCGCACGAATTTTTGACCAGCACCTCCGGCTTTACTGTTCACCGATGTTCCTCAGGCGCATGTAATTTTTTGGCTGTCGATTAAACTCGTAGCTGTTGTCTGACGTATCAAGTCCTTCGCGTCCTTCTCCATATAGAAAAAACCAAGGCTGGATGATCGACCTAGGCAGTGAAAGAGTCACCTCGCCCGATCTTAGTGTCATCAAGAAACTTTCTTGCCTGCGAGCTGTAAGGGGGGCGAGACTGCCTCATATGAACTTTTTTCTTTCCTTGCCGAAATCTCACGGAACCAATGTCTATTTAAATACGGATTTNAAGGAAAACTGCCATCAGGGAAAGTGAAGAAATTGCGGTCCGAATTTTAATTTATTCCTTTATATTCTCATTAATGATGTCTGATTGGCATGTCTGGATACAACTATATTGGTTGGAGGCCTGAGCCCATACAATTTGAAAGTCATAAGACTACATTATATCATCCATGACCCCTCGTGTAAAAGTGCTAAGTTTCGTCCCCAGGAGATGTGTTTCCTATGATGGAGCTTCCTTTAGGAATTTTCCTCCCCCTTAATCGTTACTCTTCAGTCGATCAAGAACTTTAGATTAGGTGGTCCTATTTAAAATAGAGACATCTACGAAAGCAAAGGGTTCTCCTGTGCGATAGGAAATGAGTCCATATGGGTAGGAAGGGAATAGGAAGGCCTATTCCCTTCCAAGTACTACCTGAGACTTCTCACTTGTCCCAATGGGATATCCTTGGGACATCTCTGGGATGTGCTATTTCAAGAAAGGGACATCCTAGGGATGTCATTAAGCCCAGACATTTTGATATCCCTAAGATGTCCCTACTCCTTGTCTCTGGGACATCGCACTTGTCCCAAGGGGATATCTCTGGGATATCTTTGGGATATACCTGTGCTGTGTGGGAACTGACACAGCATGTTTGCATGGAATGTCCCATGCTTGCTTGGAACATGTCAGCCTGTGAACAAGCACATATACATCACTGTAAAAGCATAAATATATACATCTGAGGTCCGAGGGTTTTTTTTTGCCTTACCTTATAAAAATGAACCCTCCTCCGTAACTGGAGAAGGACATAGTACTTTGTCAAAGGAGAGCAGCGGCGTTCCCAAGAACGCCCCCCCCCCCCCCCCCACTCTTTAGCATTGTCGTAAGGTTAAGGGTCTACTCTTCGACCCTTCGCGTTCGGTTGTCACAGGATATCTTCAAACACGCTAGTGCTACTGCAACTACTAAGCATAAACTCTGAGCTCTGTACCCATGCTCTCACTCCTATTTGTCATTCAACTTCCTAAATATTGGGCTTTCCTTTTCAAAAATCTCGCGTATGCTATAGAAGGAGAGAACCTCTTGCGCGCGTAAGTTTCATGCGAATAGACTTTTATTACTAGGGATTTATATGTATATATAAATCCGTAGTAAGATATGACAGATAAGGCATGAGAGAAAGAGATGGCGCCACGGTCGATATTCCCCTTGTGTGTAAGTGACATCATGGTGGCCCAGACGTTCTAGCCTAAGAAGTTCGATCAGGCCTGCTCTGCACTTCAACGTCGTTGCTTATCCTCATTCTTTCACTCTGGCGATTTTTTTTTCGACTAGATTGGCCTCTGTGTTAGCTAGCGTTGCTCTCTAACAGTCATCAAAGAAGAGGAAGCATGCCCTCTGCTGCTGCGGCCAAGCTTGAAAAGCAACCTTCTACCGAGGGAGGTGATCCCATCAAGCAAGTCATCACCCTCGTTGACAAAAAAGTTCGAAATCTCGAAAAGAGAAAGGTAGGTCTAAGTCTCTCTTCTTACTATGCTTAATCTTTTCTGTAGCCTATGCTTTGCCTCTATAAATGTAGGGTGGCTCTTTAGCATTGTCGTAAGGTTAAGGGTCTACTCTTCGACCCTTCGCGTTCGGTTGTCACAGGATATCTTCAAACACGCTAGTGCTACTGCAACTACTAAGCATAAACTCTGAGCTCTGTACCCATCATATGACTGCTCAAGTCGATATCACATATTCAAATAGCCTGTGCTACAGCATTTACGAGTACCGTAGACCTAATGTCATTAGGATAATGGGAGAAAACCCTTTTGTTCACTGTATGCTCCACATATATCAAATGCAGGATTGGAAATCTAGTAAAAATTTCTCTGCCATATCATTGGAAAAATACTATTTTTATGTGATCTGGCTTCATTAAACCTTTGGCAATGTTTTTCATGACATCATAAAATAATATTATTAAGCTTACCTTCTGACTAACTCACTTACTCCCAGGGAAAGCTAGATATCTACAAGGAAGAGAGCCAACAAGGGAAGGAATTGAATGAAGATCAAAGGGCAGCAGTGGAGAAGTATGGAGAAGTGGTGCAAACTCTGGAATTTGCCAGAGAGCTTCATAAACAATTCACTACAATCCAGAATGAGCATACCAAGGCAGTGAAGAAGCAGATCAAGAAAGAACAACTCGAGAAGCAACAGAATGACATCCTGCGATTCAAGATCTCTCTCGTTGTTCAGGTAATAATTAGTGAAGCTGCTATACTCTGATATGGCATCTGTTATTGAGATTTACTGCACCCCTAAATCTACCATCCTATCATAGGGAAGTCTGTCTACTCATTACTGAGGTTAAGGTAGACCTAGATAAGATAAGATCACAAAATTGAGGTTACCTTTGTTAGAACTTTTCCCCCACAAATGCTTCAACTACTACAATCTATTTGGTACTATAGTCTTTCATGTAGACAATAAAAGATGAATGTTCTCAGAGTGACTATCGTACAACTTTTGAACACCGTGTACTCTGTGTGTACACCTCCCCTTAAAGCCCAGTCACCTCGTGAACATCAAGGTAACATTACTGAGTCGGAGCACAGGGGTGGAGGCGAAGAATATATTTTCCAGCATCGAATCAGACAGCTTGCCAATGTCTTGTGGGATGCACCATATTGAAACTATGGAACCAGCTTTTTGCCAGCACTCTAATGGTTTCAGTTGTTGGGCTGCAGACCTCATGATCAAGTAATGCTGCATAATTTATGCATGCATTGATACTGCCCACATGCTTTTGAACATGAAAAATGCAACATTTTGATTCTTGCCATTGTCACGGATGAGGCAGCCTCGAGGAAGAGGGGGGCCCTCCAGGAGAGACAGCCATAATATGACTAGAGGTGATTCCAGTATAGGTTTTGCAGAAACTAGGACTATAGAAACGGATATAGTCACATATTGATACTATTCAGAAATAATGTGTGGGCTTTGCTACTTCATTGTTATCCATAGCCATGACTGAAGAAAAAAAAGGTTTTATGTGGATTTGGCATACAGGTGTTGAATAATTTCTGCCAGCAGGCTGTATGCATCTATAGACACAAGTCAAACTGCAACCAAAGAGAGATAGGCAAATTGCAGCAGGGATAACAGAAGTGCAAGCTTCCTCTATGCAGATGCATAGAAACACCAAGAAAATGGATGGACAAGCAATTATGACTTGGTGTTCACATTATCCATGAAAGGAATGATAGGTGTGCACACACCCCTATACACAGTGTTCATATTTAAACACAACATAGGGAAGTTTATGCCTCCTGTTTGTGGAGTTCAGGGTGTGCCTTATAGGTCACCGGGTTGCATATCTTGAAGGATGAACCCTATCACTGGAGTGTTTCCTTGTAGATGTGCAACCCTATGGCGTTTGCCAAACTCCACCTACATGCAGCAAAATATTACCTTTGTAGCATTTAAATACGAACACCCTGTATAAGGTGTACACATAGGCTTATAGTGGGTATTTGCAAAATAGATATAATAGGTGATGAAGAGAATAGGTGATGATGCAGACAAGGACTCAAACATTTCTTTATACATGCAGATATTTCTTCTAATTTCCCTCTTCATTTTCATGATTATATGATGGGCAACATATCCATCATCCCAAGTATTCCAGACAAATATCTTGCATAGGGCGATGAGCTGTTAAACTATGACTCAGCTAGTTGGTGCAATAAATACATGCCCTGTTTGACACTGAAACCAGCAGCTGAAATTCTAGGTTCCTAATTGTTTTGTATCATGGTAGAAAACTACAAAATTAATTTCTTGAAAGATTTAGCACATTGGCATAGCATTTAATTGCCCTGTTGCTATACACAAAACTTACACTTATTTTGCATCTGAGAGGTGGACATGCATTTATATATTTTAGCTTTGCTTACAATGCAATAAGGAAGAAATGGGAATTATTGCTTAACTCCCCTGACTATAATGCCTGAGCATACTTAAGTATGCCATAGCTTTAAAAAGTAATGTGAGTAAGCAATATGTTTCTGAAGAAGTTATAAATGATTCATTAGTAGAATCAGAATGAGAATTTTTTTTGGTGACAATTCGAGTGACTAAATCAGATGAAAGTGGCTATGAAAGTGATAATGGGCATGGAGATATGCCTCCACAGAAGAGAACAAGAGTCACCTCTTCCTTGCCAAGGTGACCTTACTTCTAATCCCCAATTTCCTATCATTTTCTCCACTTTGATTATTAGGAAATGAAACTGCTAATTAACCACCACCTTCATGGAGGGTGTGTAGCATGTCAAGAAAAAATCCTGACAGTCTAGGGGTTAAAACACAAATGTCATGATATGTCAGATATGTCATGCACACATAAGTCCCTATTTTGACACTGGTAATCACACACATCTGGCAATTGCAAAAACAGCTTGATCATGCAACTAGTGGTTCATCTTGTACTGGATGCAGCACAAAAGCATCCCTAATTTTAAAGCTAATGAAAAAAAGTGTTATAATCAATATCGGTATAGTATAAAACTCCACCAGTGACTCCTGAAGTTTCCTTCCTTCTACATCATGAAGGGAAACTTGGAGCAATGTAACCAAAATGAATTTTAATTTGGGGTGGTAGGGAGAATTTTACCTTCCCTTTGAAGATCTTCTATGGAGTTTTTCTTCATGTATTGATAATTCCTTTTACAATTTGTAAAATAATGCATAAAAAACACATTTGTAAAATACGTTTTGTTCAAGCAAAAAAGTTCTTGGGGAACCTCCCCCCTTTCCAGAATGCTGTACCCCAAAATTTTATATATTTTTTCTCCTGTAATTTGCATCCTTGCAAAGACTTATGTACCAAGTTTCAGCTTTATTTCACTGATTCGCTGAAGCAAAAGAATTAATTTGGAAACACCCTCAGGGTGAAATGTGCCTCCAGAGAATTTATCCATAATGTAGGATTTATCCATTATTCAATATCCTTGTACAAGGGTCTCAAACTCATGGTCCATGGGCCGTATACAACTCACAGGTGCTCTCAGTGCAGCTTGCAACCCACCTGCATACACTGAAAGAGAAACATTTCATGTGTTATATACACAGTCAGAGAAAAGTTTCAGATTTTTTTCACTTTGGCCTGTAGAGAGGTCCAATCTTTATGATGCGGCCTGCACACCAAAATGAGTTTGAGACCCCTGTCCTAGTAGCTACTTGTGTATCAAGATTCAGCCTTATATAATATCTAAAACATGGTTGGAATCAGCATAAGTTGCTTAGTCACTCAGTCACGATGTTTCACGTATGTTAGATTGTGTCAACTAGTCTCCCTCTGGAGATTTGTTGAGTCCATGTTATCTAACTGCTAAATATGATTATTGATTTCTAGGATGTGCTCAATAATATGGGGAATGAGAATGCCAGGGAGGATTTTCTACGAGGTGCTAATGGTGCTTGCAAGCTTTCTCAAGTTCAGTTGGATTGCCTGGATGAACTGTATAAATTGCTCTATCCATCAAGAGATTCTCTTGAGAGTGGGCAATCTCTTGAGGTGAATTGACTTCTCTCATCTCTCCTAATAGTGTGATTACATCAAACTTCATATAAGTTTTTACTTGCAGATGGAATTTGCAAGTGCAGCTGAGCATATGTATTGGCTTGTGGAGGGGAAAAAGAAGGAAGTTCTTGGTTCCACTTATCGAGACATAAAAGACACCATCCTCAAGATTTATGAGTGTGGGTACTTCAGTGTTCCTTCATCGGCTCCCTGTCAAGTTGTGAATCATGTGGTAGGCTTTCTTCTACTTGATGAATGTGTGAATGTTCATTTACAATATGATTGCATGTTTCATTGTATCCAATTCAATCCAAAATCCATTTCATTTGACTGCCTGAGGGCATTCTTGTCTTTGGTGAGATTCTTTATAGTCCCCCTTCCCACCTCTATCAGAATACAGAGGGTGACTATTCTTCACCTGCATGAATGGAAAAAACAAAATTTTTCTTATTGGATGGATTTTGGAAAATTTTTTAAATATAGCCAGTTCTTGTAACATTCTTTTTGCATTTTAACTGAGGAGGAGGATGATGATGAGAAGGAAGCACATCAAGTTGGCAAAGAAGATACAAAGCTAGAAAGGAAGGAAGAAGAGAGACACTCCTCGGGAGGTTCATCTATTGGTGAAGATTTAGAAGAGCCAGTTACCAATTCTAGTGGTCAGTTGCCTCAGTCACAAAGGGTTGTCATCCCTGGTCCCCCTGATACTGTTAGGTCAGCACATCTTCAAGCTCAGTCGGATCTGCCTCAAGCTGTTGTTTCACAACACGATTCCTCTCTTTTCAGGTGAGTAGTGCATTCTTATGTGATTGTATTCTGTTAAGGTCTTGTTTTTAATGGCTTTAACGGTCTTCTCTTCCATTGACTTCATTTGATGCCAGTGCGGAAGCACCATATGGGAACCAGGTCATGAATGCAGCAAAGGGAAACTTCACGTTTCTTCATGAGTCACAACTCTTGGAAGGTGAGATTTTTCAAGAAATTCATTGGATAGGCATCAGTATTAAGAGGGGGTGTTTGTTGGATTTCAGCTCACGTGGACCCAACAGTGGTAGCAGCTCACCTTTTACCTCGAGCTGGGACACCAGGAACTACTGGCCTGCCAACACAAGTGGGATCTCCATCAACTGCTGCTGCAATTGCTCCAACTTCCATCCCATCTCAGACTTTCACAAACCAAAGCTTTTCCTCACTCCCAATACATGGGATGCCCCACAGCCGTATTGATCCAACTCCAAATCCTCCCCCTCCCATACCTCTTCCACCTTGTAGTAATAGTTCTCCTCCATTTTCATCACTTACACCATCAGCCCCAAGCCCCTTCCCCACATCAGCCTCACCTTTTGCCTCACTCCCAGATTCAACTTCTCCCAAATTGGAATACACTGGCTACACACCACCTGGTTTTGGGACTTACACTACGCACCACTCGACTACAACATCTGCAACATCTGGGGCTAGCAGTTTTGTCAATGGACCAGGACCAGGAAGTGGAGAGCATTCCTGGAAGAAGCCTGAAAGGGATGTGCAAGAAGGATGGGATGCTGGGGACCGGAACATTGGAGGGAAATGGGCAGATGATTGGAAAGGAAAGAAGGAAGAAACAAATCAGAACTGGAATGTTGGACATTGGGATGGGGGGGATGCAACAAGACCAGATCGTAAGGAAACAGAAGGATCTTTGAAGCCATCATCTACTTCGTGGGCTGATGAACCAGATGAAGTCTTGGGTGCTTCCCCTTCTTATCGCAAGTTCCCTGATGAGGAGTTTGAAGGTGAGTGCTTGTTGGGTCCTTATGAATGATTTACAGGCATCTTAAAAAATAAGTAAAGGAAATACTTACAACAATAAGTGACATTATTTTCTCTTATTTTTCCTCCTCTTGAGAACAGGTCGGAATGGATTTGGAAATCGAACGAGAGGTCGGGGTGGAGGAAGCAATTCTGGGAGAGGAAGAGGCAGTGTGAATGGCTTCTCTAGAGGAGGAGCAAAATCTATGCATGAACGATCTGGAGATGGTTAGCTCTTTAGTAGTTCTGTTGGATTTTCAAAGCAACTTAAAGCGCAATTTACCAGGTGGCACAAAAATTGTGTGCAGTTTAGGGCATTCTAAAATTGCTGTAGAAATGCTTGACTTTTACACTTTTTTATCATGCAAAAAACTCTTTAAAATTTCTTTTCTTGAAGTTTTGAAGTCTCTAGGTTACTTGGGTAAAGAGCAACTGCCCTCAAAACTTTAATTAGAAAATTCCATTCTTTCTTGTTTTGGGAGGTAGCAGTTTTTTGGCATTGTTCTGCAGGTGTGTCCCATTTGTCTCCTAAAAGTCTACTTATGGATGCATTTTTAGTGCATTGCTCTTGACTGTGCAGTAACATATCTTTTGGAGGAAGAACAGTCACCGTTTTTTTGATGTTTATAAAAGATGAAAGAAGGACCCCAGGAAGGAAGGGACCCCAAGTATTTGTGTCTGTGATTGATAAGAAACACTCACCATTCTTTTCCCTTTTGCAGTTCATAGTCTCTAAACACAAATTCAAACCTTACTTTCTCACTTTAGAGCTAAAGACACCACACAAACAAGAATGCTATGACTAGGAAACTATTTAAAAAAAGCAGCCTTTACTGTATCTAAGGAGGGAAATCTTTTGAGCAATGTTGAGATTGAGACTGCAGCCACCTGATGCAGGGAAAAAGCTTAATTTTATGATTGCATGAGGGATGATTGTCCCTTGAAACCTAGAGATGAATGAGACTCTTAGGAAATACATCTTATAGTTTTTTCAATGTGATGCAAAAAAAAAAAGAACAATCTTATGATTTCTACAGCTGGATTCATAAGGCATGAAACAGGATGCATTTTCTTTTTGCATCACCTGGTATTTGTGATCATCCATCTATATGGGCTCAAAGTGTGGACCCTAGCCCTGTTTTTGTTATTCTGCAAAAAATATTTTTTGCTCCTAGTCATAATTTTCAGTAGCAACTCTCATTGATGTATTTCAAATTGGTGTATTTCAGTAGCAACTCTCGTTGGTGTATTTCAAATACAGTGGCAACACATACTGAAAAATTAGGTCTGAGCAGACATACCCCTCATCACAGTGATAGGGGTCCAAGCAAACCCTAGCTCACAGCCTTGGTCATAGTGATAGGGTTACAAATGGACTTGTCATATCCCAGTTGGTGAGTTGGAAATGGTTTTACTTTGCCACTTTTAACCCTCAAGTGTGGCAAGGATTCTGTATTGATAAAAAATTCAAAATATCATTTATTTATTATTTGGCTTGTTGCTTCTTGATAAGAGAATATGCTAACACCCAGGTTGGTAATATCCCCATAGAATTAATGTTATCTTGATTTACATAGTTTTGTCAAAAAGCTCTATACCAATTGAGTCCATTGTCTCTTGAATCAGACTTCCCAACTATCAGAACATTCTTTTCATTCTTTACTCTATCAGAACATTCAAATACATTTTAACAATGAGAGAAAATTGGAGAGAGTCTTGGCAAGTATATAAAGTTACGTGTGAGATTTGCATAGTTTTGCATGCTACCATTGATATTTGGTTTCCACCTAAATGAAAACTCATGGAACAGAAAAAACCTAATATAGTGTCTGTAGACAGGTTTAACCTTGTCTACAGAAAAAAATTTAATTGTATGCTTAATTCATGCTAAGGCATGTATGGAGGGCGTGGTGGAGGACGAGATGGCTTCAGCTCTGGTGGAAGCTATGGAGGGAGTGGTGGAATGAGAAGAGGAGGGACTTTTCGAAATGCAGGAACTAGAGGTGGAGGCATGAGGTCTCCCATGCGTCCAAATAACCCCAGACCCAGAGCACAGCATGAGTGAGGATCACCATAGCCAAAGGAGCCCCATATTTTTCTCTCCTTCCTTTCTCCCATTCATTGAAATGTTGATGGATCAATTCAATATGAGCTGCCTTGCCGCAAAAAATCATGCTTTTTCCTCCATAATGATTCAGTGGAGCATTAGATTATGGACATTGAGTCCTGAGGAACTCTGAAAGTCTTGGTCAATAAACTTGACTTTGCAGCATTTTGTATTTTCCACTCCCAAAAAATTTACCTAAAATAAGTTTTGGCCGGAAGGGATTCATGCCTTGCAGCTGGACTGATGGTAACATGCTCTTATTCTTTACACACCTGTTGTTGATATTGAGATGAAGCCAAACTCATCAGCAGTAGTCCTGCTTTGTAGAATGGCTGGGATAGTGAAGGGGGAACTGGGATTGAGAACCCAGTATCCTGAGAGCAGGTTGACCCTCATATCTTCCATACACATTATAGATCACAATTCCATATGCTAGCATGTCACAGATATATTGTTACATAGACTTGTTGGGCATCAATACCTTCCTTGTCATGCCTTCTTTTTTTTACTTTTATGCAAGAACACTCATGGAGTGAGGTTCAGGTACTTCATGGCTGGAAGAGATCACAGAGAATAATGCAAATGAATGAGACATCAGTGGCTGAAGAACCAGGTCGCAAGGCCTCACTTGAGGATTCCTGTGATATTGTCAAAGCTACACAGGTGAGGATTTCTACTTGGGTGCTGTATAGCTGCATTTTACTAATCAGATATGATCTATGTTACCCTATAATGGCAGTTCTACATTTTCAGTGGATATGTTTTGCTTTCATCATTCATTAAGCTTCACTCGATTGAAGTTTTAGAAAATTAGCAAGAAATGGGAGATTAGGTATCTTGAAAATACACATGCCAGTGTGAAATTTCAGATATTTCTTGTGTGCAATTGACTAATGATTCATCCTTAGCTAAAGTCTACCTTGATTGGGTATGATAACATTGGGAAATGACTGGGAAAAATTTTCAATTCTTTGTAAATGTGATTGTTACTAAGTGAAAGCAGTTATGACAGCAAGTGCTTTTGAACTCTAGTGCATCGTGATCATGCTGTGCTGACCACTGTTGACATAGCTAAAAATTCACACATTTCCTATATTGTACAAATGATCCTAACTTTTTCCAAAATCATAAAGACTTGCCTTTCACTTTTCACAGGCAAACTGCTTACAAGAACAATGAATAGCAACTGGGGAAGGTGACCTTTTAATGACACAGGATTTTTCCTCTTCCCACCTTCCTGCAGTCATGCCTACTACACATACAACCCTCAGGAAAGAGAATAACAGAAGTGAGACATTGGGGTTGCCTAAGGTCAATGTTCCCTACAACGGAAATTCCAATTTTAGCATATTGAGGATTTACAGAATTCAACCTTTACTGGTGTCCCTCAAGCCAGTATCTTACCCCCATTCCTTTTAACATAATGAAATGAATGCTCAACTTCTCCCACCTCTGTCTTCCTAAAGTATGCTGATGATACCACTCTTTTATCCATTGTGAAAATGAAACATCTCAAGGGCACCAGAAAGAAGTCGATTGCCTTTCTTCTCTGTCTGATGTGAATGATCTCATCCTGAATCCAGATAAGTCCAAAGAGATTATCTTTTGCAACAGAAGCATTAGAAAGCACTCTCTCATAGACCTAGTCTCAAAGAATGGCATCATTATCCCAAGGGTAAAATCCATTAGACACCTAGGCATTATCATTGATGATGAGCTAAACTTCCACAGCCAGTCTCAAGCACTTTGCAAAAAATGCTATGACATACTGATTGTACCCTGCATTGAATTTCTTGAGATCCTGCCACATCACCAGGGAGCCAGTCACTATTATTGTGGATTGATGTATTGTCACCATTCTGTATACTCTCCTGACATACTGTGGTTTCCTGGCAAGAAGCTACATCAGACTCCTTGAAAGGCTTCTCAGGACAGTGGCACACATTTCTAGACAAAATTTAGGGGCTACAAAAAAATGTAATTTGGAAATATCCCATGATGTCTGTAAAATTTACTCTCTCATTTCTCCCTTGACAAAAATCATCCACTCAACATTTCTGTAGTATCATCAATCTATTGCAAATATGGACCACAACAAGGAAAGTGATTGCATAACCAAAAACTTGAAAAGAGAAGATCAGGAGTCTTATGTATGCTTCTCTGCCCTTTCATGTGAAATGGACCTTACTAGACCACCTTCTCCTATTTGTCTCACTCAAAGAGCACTGACAGACCAAATCAAGGCAAATACAGGGTGCGTAAGAAGTTCTGTTACAAACGTTTCTTTGCCAAAAACAACCAAAGCAACAAGAACGACAACTTCAAGTGATAATTTATTTAGTACAAAGTGTCAGTCAATGTTAGGAACCATAGCTACTCGAAATGTCCGCCACGTTTGGAAATGCAAGCCTTCAATCGAGGGCGGAAAGCGCGTACTGCAGCACGCAGCTGATGCTGTGGAATATTCTTCCATTCTTG